TTTTATATCTACTTTTTGTGAATATAGAACAATTATTTTCTTCCTCTTTTTTATTTCTAACGGTCACGTCCGCGACATCGTATTAATTTGTATAATGACTTCGATCTGTGAAATGTGAATTGACGGCATTGTTGAGCAAGTGGTTCATGCATCTGGGTGGGAAATCTCAATTCATAACAAATGCTGAAGAGCGAGAAAATGGAAATAGAAATCGTTATCTTGATGTTGAGCAACGCGTTCCGCGAAACTTGGAAATCACGCCGCGCGGCTTTCCGTGTCAAGAACGAGATCGCGATTTTACGGGTGAAGATACCTGAGAACGAGAGCTAACAGAGAGAGTGAGAACAGCTGCCGCCTAGCCTTTTGCGTAGCGTAGCAGATTGACGCTATCGGCGAAAGCTGAATCGAGTAGAGATGTTGTCAGGGCCGCATTAATGCTAGAGAAGAACCTAGGTTATACTTAGAGGCGGAAGTTTAAGGAGTGGTATTTTTTTGAAGAAAATACTAAAAAAATAGTCACTTTTTGCCAAATTCGAATGATTACAAAAATTGTCCAGCGATTGACAGTATAGATTTGAGTCGGAGTTCCGTGACCTTCGTCTCGATTTCGTTTTACAGTGTATATGATATATAAATTAATGTAAACAACAAGTGCTTAGCGAAGAGCCAGAATAATAAGTACAGCAGTAAATGTTGAATCTTACTCGAGATGGCGCTGCAATATGTTAAATAAGGACAGATGTATATGTTTGAGTGAGACAGAATAATAATATAAAAAATAAATTAAAGATATCACTATTCTCGATATCGTTATTTAAAATTTAACAAAAGTTCATGCCGATATCGATCAAGTCCGGTTATCATTCCAGCATCCATTTAACTCGTTATGTCCGATTAATCTCTGGCTACCGCGCGCGCGCGTGCGTCTGCAGCTGCAACGCGATGCATTCGCAAGGCCATAGTCAAGGACATCCGTACCGGTTGAGGCTGCGTTGGAACAAGATGCCAATGATGCGCTCTAGCTAGTCGTGAACGAGCTTCGCACAATTCGCGGTTAGCGCGCAACATATGATTTAGCGTATATAGAGGGTTTCTAAAATCTGATCTCACCCCTGGTTCTCGGAAATGACTTCAGATATGAAAACAAGTTTCAGACAAAATTTATAGGATATATTGAGAGGGACAGATGTTGAAAATATTGACCTGACCTCATCTGACCTTGAGTGACTTCTTCAATATCGATATTTTCTGGAACTCCCCATTTTTATTTGTGTAACTTTTTCCTTACATTCTGTGAAATATCTGTAAAAGAATATCTGTACAAGCTACAACTATCCTTTAGTTAGTTTAGTTTAAGTTTGTTCGTGCGTTCTAAATTAATCGATGTATTTTCTGATATATATATAGAACGTCACTGACTAAATTAAACTAAACGTAAAGTCGGAGTGAAATAAGTGTGCGCGTTATAAGTGAACGGTGCATAAATGGCAAGTACGTTGTACGTATTGTCAAACTAGTTTGACTACTTTTCTGGTCGAATTCTAGCAAATTCTTTTTGTTGTGACTTGTACTCTCTTTGGTTGAAATGAGTTAAAGAAAAAAAAGTAAGAAGTAGGGAAAGGAGGCTCGAAAAATCAAGTATATTGTATAATAACGAATATATATAAATCAAGTATATTATATAATAACGAATTACAGGTCCATTTTTGAAGCATCTGAGAGAAAGTCGATTTCGACAAACTGACCAGTTAACTTTCGTATGATCAGAAGAGTTTCCTTCTCAAAAGTTCACATTACTCTTCTTGGTTAAAACGCAACGTGAATTTTTTCGTCAGTCACATTAAAATTATAAAAATTAGCAATTATGTATTTGTTAATAAATAATGTATTATTATCGAGGTCTATCTGACAAAGATATACTTTTGGCAGATGATACTTTTGAGAGAAACTTCATGTTTTATAAATTTTAATAATATAACAATAATTTATGATAAAGTAAAGGAATTATTTATTTCATATTAATATCTTTGTCTTAAAGATTAACAATGCATTCAAGAGTCTTTATTTTGTAATAAATAATTATTACATAATTTTGTAATATTTATATATTTTTATTTTTTTATAAATCTGTAATCTATCATCCTACCAGTTGAAGCAAAAATATACACTTTTCTTTTACATAGGTTTATATGATGCTGATGAATACTTGAATAAATATATTCGAACTTTGAGAAAGCTACAAAAATTTATATAAAATATACCAAATATATACACTTAAGGATACAAATTAAGCCAACTATGAACTTTTACAATATTGGTATAGAAAAGAAATTTGTAGAAAAAGCTCACTGCCTATAAGATAACAAATCGGTCTAACTCAGTGCTCATTTTAAGTCCTCATCGATGTTAGAAAATTTGTAATTCAAGAAAAATGAAAAGCTTCATAAAATTTATAAGGCAATTTCACATCATTTCAACTCTCGTAAATTTTATTGCCGATCTCCAGGGCGGAATTATTTATAAAGAAAGTTTCGAGAGATCATAAGAGAGACGAATATATTATACGCAATAATACAGACTTGAAGAAAGTATTTTTATATAGTTTCTTTTTACATACCAAACGTAAGAATTCATCAAAGCCTAGATTCCTAAGGTGAATGGATATACCGAGCAACGATGACAATCAAATGTTGTACGAAAGAATTTAAGATAATATTCGCTCATAGTTCTTCATTGCGTAAGAAAGATATCATTTCTCGTATACAATATAATACATAGCGCGACAATAAAATTCATGGACTAACATTATTATATACAATCGTACTACTGACATTATCTATCGGCGAATGATAAAAGTAGTTAAAGAAAAAAGATTGTTCATATAAACTTCTTGATTTGTTGACGCAATTAAGAGTTACAATTATTGTGGTGCGACTTTTGTTTCTCTGTTAAATATTTTTAAATGGAACAAAGAGCAGCAGTTAAAGTTTGTATGAAATTAGGAAAAAACAGCTAGCAATTTAATGTTGCGTTCGCAATTTGTCCACGTACGCAGTCCGAGGACAGAACGGTCGAACGGATGTGAATTTATGCGAGAACGCCAAAGTTGTATGACTACAATTTAACGCACACGCGTGAAAACGACGCGTGTTCTACGGCGTGATTTCCTACAATGGTTCGCGACGCCCACACACCGGTGAGAGATCCGTCGAGAACCACCGGGAACCGCTCGTATACGCAGAGGTCAAAGACTTCCCCTCACCTTATCCGAGACCTCGTCTTACGAGCGAGCAGCCACGCTGTACCAGTCGCGAATTATTGTTCCCTTCGGCATGCCAGCTCTTATAATTATACAGCCTCTCAGGATCGATGGTAGGTATTGTGGCCATTAGACGCCAGAAGAGAGAGAAACTAGTATCTTCCTGAGTTGGGAATCTGTCATCATCGTCGTTGCATTTTTACTCTCTGAGGTGAGTACGGAACAAGCGGAGCGGGTTGGAATGTACGCTGATAAAATTGTCGGCTATACGCTCAGATTTACAGTAAGCGAATTCTTGACATCGCGCATATCATGTAACTCACGTTCGGGTACGAATGCGACAACGAATGCAATCCAATGAGTTCAATTCGTTGAGCATTTTAACGATACAATCCAGCTGTTATATAATAAAAACAGCTGGCGCATCTGTGATGTAATCACGGTTACCAATTTTCTCCGGGTTAAAAAAAACCGGAGATTTTATTTATTTTACTAAAAATCACCTGCTATACTTTCAAATTTCAAAATGGTTAATGTAACGCAATATAAATAACTAGTGTCTCAAGTTATAATTTCATTATATTATACTTAATTCAATCAAAGTGATATGTATTCTCAAATTCTCATACAAGAGATTCGATTTTAACCTAAGTGGTACAGTATCTTCTTGTTTTAAATCAACATTCAAAAATATTTAATATAAAACTTGATGCTATTATCTTGTACTGTTAAGGAGATTCTAAAGGAATCCATAAAATTTACAACACACATTTACACAATATTTATAGAATATTTTGATAATAAATATTATATTGCGAATATTTAAAATAAATTTTACTGTAAATATTTTATAAATATTGTGTGCTGTCTGGGAATTATTTGTTATTTCAGCTGACTTCTAATATAATATAAGAGAGAGAGAGAGATCCCATAAAAGTTTAAGTTTTATTATACTATTCCAATGTTTCTTTTTTATCAAAGCATATTAAGAAATTTTATCATCATGCGATACATTACAAATAGTGCGTAAAATTATATAATGTTTACACTTGTGCTTATTACTCTCGTTGTTACTTTTATAGCTTATTTACAATGTACGTAAAATATCGTATAATTTTAATCTTTGCCCAAAACGTGTCGATCGCTCAGTCGATCGTGATGCCGTGCCACAAAATGCGCATAATAAGTCCAGTTCTGAGTCAGGTGTATCGAAATAAGCAAGGAAAATGGAAAGAGAGTGGCTTGCGTAACAAGTCGAAGATTACGGATATCGCCTCCACACACACTTCCATCTCTAATCGAGCTTCTCTTCGTGCCTTTTGGATAATTTTAATCCTTATCCATCATAAAGCATGAATCGTAGGTAATTACCGCTACTAACACTATACCGGGAAATTGCCGGGAGGCACTTAAACGGGTATAGAGTCGATAAACCGAATTAAAACGATCGGTCGAAGGTGCAGACGGGTGATGCAACATAATAAGGTGGTTGTCTCTCCTCCTACCCTCTCGTCACCGCTTCCTTCCCGATAATTCCATCGCTTGTTAAAATAATGATAATAATCTAATTGGCTTGCGTATAATTTACGACGCTGTTGATCAGCCCGTAAACATGAGGGAGAGATATTAGCAATTAGTACAGAAAAACTACTGACAAACATGGAAGAATAGAATTGCAAAAAAACGTACGCAAAATGTCTCTGTCAATTGTAGAGGTAACGATTCATAGGGAAGAACTCACCAGTTCGGTGGGCATGGTGTTGCAGGATCTGAGCGGTAGATTGTAAGTGATCGGAACAGGCTGACTCCTGTACTCCTGTAAACACGAACTGTTTTTCGATAAGCCGCGCGGATAGACCAGACCATGGAAGTCCGTGTTATGCTCCGTCGAGATGTGAACGATTATCGATTCGCTCGCGCACTCGATCTGCACAGTGCTTGCTATCGCAGCGGTCGCTGAAAAAATCAAATCGACAAATATGTTTATATTATATATTTATATGTGTATGCAGTGTGTGTGTGTATAGAATAGTAACAGTTAGGTTCGATTTTTCACTATCTGGTTAACTTGTGGTTAAGTCTAACCTGATGATGTTTCACCCATAGATGAAGCCTATTGGATAAAATATTAAGTCTAGCTTATTATACTTTCTGAAAAATAAATTTTGCAAAATCCACAAATACAGTTTCTTTTGTGATATTTTCACATGGTGCGCGATGAAAAGTTACAAAGAAGCGAATCGTTAATCTCCTTAGTTAATCGATTTTCCATTCCACGCGATTGAAAATTCATTGTAGTCGTTGGCCTGCGACTAATTAAGCAATAAAAGTGCGATTCACGCACCGAACCGTGTATATAAGCTCCTGTAGCGTGAAATCATGCGGCGGCTGCTGGGTGTTACAATTCCGTTCATCAACTCCGCGCGATCGTATTATGATTAACGAGAACTTCAATTAAATGTATGACGCAGCTGCTGGGCGCTGTTGCAATGAGTCAAATTGCAAAGTCAGACCGTGTATTTTTGAGCAATGAAAATTAAACTCGTAACGAAATGAGATATCATTAACAACAGCGATGCGATGGCTTGTACATCGTTACTATACATTGGAAATCGCAGGACGTACATCGAAATACGTGTCTGAATTTTATATTTCTTATATTGTAATCTCTTTACACTCGAGAGACAAACTAACGGTTCGTTCATACAATGAGGAAATACATATCGACTAAATCTACTATTACCGCGAACACTTAAAAGGATGCACATTAATCGCATTTAATAAAGCCGCTGCAGAATGAATTATTTTGAATATAAATTTACTAGAACCACCTTCGACGAACGGGGGAAGCACGGCATGAGTAAATTAGAAGGCTTGCATGTCTTCCTCTCGAACGTGAGTCGTAATGATAATAATCATTGGCGGATTATCGTTATCAGCCCGCAGAAAGACAATGATGAGAGAGTTATGAACTTAAGTCGTTGACTTTACAGGCAATCACGTTGAGTGTACCATCGTTCTCTTCCTACTCTTCCCGTGACGTATCTTATCCAGCTATTATCCATAACGGAAATATCATGACGTATCAATGATTGCTTCCACAAAAGAAGATAAAACGAGATTTTTAATTCGTCATTTAAATTTATTTAAAGCAACTGTGATATTTGAGGATCTGTATTATTTTATATAGTCACTTAGTTTTTTAAAAAATTGAAAATCAATAAATTCTGTGTGGTATTTGAGTTCAAAAATCATTATCCTGTAATAATGGACCTTCTTTCTCTTGGTGGCGAATGAGAATACAAAAAGAATAGTGCAACAAAAAGGAGGCAAAGATCATATTCGATCAAAGCTTTTGGTATCTAATAAGATTTTTGCGTGAATTTTACAATTTTCTCTTCATGCAAACTGCGTATCGATTATCAATTTTAAAACACAGTTCTAAATTGAAACCGAAGTACGTAATCAAAAATTAAAAGATTGACAAACAATTTGATAACATTGATATTAATGAGATTTTAAACTGTAAAAAATTTTAAAAAATATGCGAAAAATATCACCACAGCTAAAAATTATTATTTGTATAAGGAAAAAAGCCTAATGTACCAATTAATACTACATCATTAATATAATCACGTTATGAGATATCGGAAATATTTAATTATAATTAGATACATATATTTTTTATTTTATAATTATATTTTTTTTTATCGTTATAAATAAAAATATCAAACGGTCTAAACGGAAAGTCCAGCATTGGTCACCGGTGACAAACGCGGCATGGAACGTGTTAATGAAATAATGAGTCTCACTCGTTCACATTCGAGATGTCACTTCTATTCGGTTTTCCTTTCTCTCACGATGGTATAGGTTTACCTCTCCGCCATCCGTACATCACTCGTACTGTCGTACACACAGATGTATTCTTTTCTTTTTCCGTCTCTGACTCATAATCAGTAAGGTTCCAGAAGGGCGTAACAAAGGCGCGCCGAAGGAGACGTTCCTTCAAGTGCGTGCAATTTGCAAACGACACACGGAGCCTTAGTCGCTACGCAACTTCCTTCACGTTTCCGGACGCGTTCTTTTTTCATCCTATTATATTTCCGTTGAAATTCATCTTACTCATTTCCGAGTAAAAATTGTCGCCGCGCTATCCCTTGATTGTAGATACGAAATGAGATAGTCCGAGCTGTCGCTTCAACAAAAAATCGTGACTATTTTATACAAACTAGTTTTTTGAAATTTAATTGCACTTATAGGATAAAAATCAAAACGCTAGAGTCAGCAGGTCACGCGATAGAACGTCTGGCGCCGGCACTCCTTCAAAGACGCCAAAAAAGTAGTGTCATAAAAGCATTTTTATTAAAATTGAAGATTTATGTATAGTTTTTTGCAATAAAATGTAGAAATGTGATCATCAGACAGTCCAATGTCGAAACATGTCGTGTCAGCGCTATCTTAAAGATGTAAAAAAATATATAACGTAACTACTTCATAAAATCTGGAATTTGGCAGATAACTAAATTATTTAATACTATACGTACGAAAAAAAATAGATTTTCTGAGAGGATTAACTTTTTCAGACGCGATTAAAGTAATGATCGTTTAACTACGCTCGTGGGATTGCGCTACTCTCCATCTTAGGTCTCTGTTGTATAACTTTTACATTAATTTGAAAAGAATGAAAATTGTTGTCACTCTTCTCCAAAAATGTATTTTTTTATTCTCTTATAAAGTGAGATTCACTCGAAAAAATTTAGAGAGTACACAGGATTAAAAAATAACCAATGTTGGCACTTATAAAGTATTTAGATTTATTTGTTTTATTTTCTTCAGTCTTTTCCTTTTTGTTAATGTATTCGCTTAATGATTAATAAATTAAATTTGGATCAAGGATACGTTATTTATGAGTAAATTTGACAAAGCGTTACTTTTCTCAAATTGTTCCGCGATTCAGCAACTTCCGTAATTATGGTATGATTAATAATTACTGCGAGCACGCCAGGTAATTCAAGTGCTACAATGTATAAAGGAATTAACGTTCTTCCATAAATGCTGTTGCAAATTACATTGTATTCTACCGACTGCAATCTATATATCATTATAATTAAGTCTGTTCAGACGATCCGAAGAGAGCAATGAATTATAGATAAGAATTGTATAGTAATGTAATAAATAATGAAATAATGCATAATGAAAGTATATCATTAATATACTATGCACACAATGCGTGCAAAATTTATCACAGAAGAGCTTAATAGAAGCGAAAGTTCTAAAGTTTATTCACATCGTAAATGAAGGGTAACAAACGCGTACGTCGATATTAAGAAATTAGCAAAACCGGTCGTAAGGAACGGTGAAACTCTGGGCGAAACCACGAAAGCCATAGTCGTCATACAGACACGCACAGTTATGCAAGAATCCGGTGTGTGCCTTTCGTGCATGAGATTTTAATGCGCCATGGAGGGACACGAGCGGCATAAGATATCGGGAACAGCTGAACGCTGGCGCGACGTTGAAACTTCCTGTCGTCCTTAGCTCGCTTCGCCGACGCGACTCGGCACGAAGGGAATGTCACGCGGCGAATCGCGCACGCGATTCTCCGGAAAACGCGTGGAAAATTGCACGAGTAATAGACCATTCGGCTTTTATTATAGCGTGCACACACGCACGACGCCGGAGATTATAGAATTTGTCTCTTCCTCGAGGGACACGATAAGAAATTACGTTTTCGTCGAAATCATAATTACGAAATTGTAAACCTGATATTTACGATTGGCGACGCAGACGTTTCGGCGTCCATGAAAGTAATAATTCCGACAATTAGCGACGCGATTACGATAAATCTTCCAGCGGAATGAGATTAACGATTCAAAATTTAGCGGCGATTAATTTGCATAATAGTCGACGAGTCATCCCGCTTTCGGTTGCCGATCTCGCTGCGCAAAACTCTCGAGGTGAAATCGGAAAGTTTCGGCTGGCACATTGGAGAGAATCCGAGAGAGAGGAAAAACACTTATAGGTCGCAACGATCGTTAAGATTTCGGCGGAGATCGGCCGGATGCATCTACGAAATTTTGTTAAGCTCGCCTTAAATCACAGTATTAGCATTCATATATTACGAAACGTCAAGTTTCGTAATATATTCATTTAACATTCAATGATCAGTACGACTTTTTAATTAGTTGTTGAGTTACAAGGGTTACATCATACGATCGACGTCAAATATGTAAAACTGATTTATGTCCATTTCTGTTAATATAAATTTACTTTAATCTTGGTTTAACTTACTTTCTTTACTTTCTACTCATTCCTATTTCTAACAAGAAAAAGATAAAAAGTAAATTAAACCGAGATTAATATTAAATTACATCGATAGAAATTGATTATCAAATTTAAAGGAAAAGACAAATATACATATATATATATATAGTAACTGTAAATATTAAGATTACTTACTATATTAAAAATGAGAATTAAATTATATTCAAAGTTAAGTGCACTTAGAGAAAAACATCACGGCAACAACTATAAAAGTGATAACTATACGAGCTTTTTTAAATGTAAAATTAATGTACGCAATTAAATAAATGATTTTATAGTTAATGCAAGTATATAAAATAGTATATAATATAATCAAGTATGTATATTAATTCTACAGTAAAAGTTGTCACTTTTATAGTTGCTATATTTTTCTGAGTGTACGTAACTTTGAAGTTTGAATATAATTTAATTGCTGCTGTCTCGTATTTTCCTATTAATCATTCGTCTTTCATTTAAATTTCATACAAACTCATCCGTAGGGAAACGAAATTATATCGTTCATAGAGGTATATTATGAGGTAGCATCACTATATATTTAATAATCGTGAATAGCGGTAGTCTCCAATAACGGCTTGGAATTAGGCGGAACGAATTATGCAAATGTGACCGGCTCTAACGATCGGCCAGTAAATTCCGTTAAAACTGGCGAAACACCATTTCTGTTGGTCTGCCAACTCTTATAACTGTCATAATGTCTTGCACGCGTTTCGCGTCCCGCATCGTAGTCCCGCTAGCGACCGGAAGTTCCTGCTGAGCTTCTCTTACGTGGAACGTTATATAACGCGTTTACCTCGGCGTTTACTTTATCATCCTTTATCGTGATAGATACAAAAACGAGATACCTCTCCATTGCGAAAATATGAATCCTTCCATCGCGCTATTTGCATTGCGTGTACATTATAGGTGCTCGTGCTTGAGACGTGCTTGTACTTCCGTTGACTCTTCCAAGTAACGTTCGAAGAAAAGATGCACATATATTAAGGTAATAAACGTACAAGTACAACTTTACACAAAGAATACATGGAGCGCAACGAGCGTAAATGTGCACGTAAGTGCAGCCTTACGGTGCCAAGAACTGCAGACGTGCGAACTATTGGAATATGAATCGAGTAAGATTCGATTCGATTCGAATTTGAATGATTCGGACTATTCGAAAATTTCGAATCTATAATATTCGCGAGATACACAGAGGACCGAGATTACTGGATCTTAATAACTTAATTTATTTTATGTTTTTTACAAAATGGCGGTGTTAACTTCATGCACATCCTTCAGGCTATGTGAAGTTGGCCCCCCCACTATTGCAAATCTAAAAATGACCATTACCATTCGTTTGATGGTCGTTTGGTGGTGTTTGGTAGTCCATTTCGGACGTTTGGTAGTCAAAGATATAATGAGAAATGTCAAAAAAAGAAGAACGCGCGTGAAGTTAGCCCCCCCATTTCTAAAACTCGGCTTTGCAGACTGCAAATGGAATAATGGCTGTAAGTATTCGTTTGGTGGTCGCTTACTGACGTTTGGTAGTCCATTCCCGATGATTGGTAGTCGAAATTATAGCTAGAAATATCAAAAAAAGGATATATGCGTATGAAGTTAGCCCCCCATTTTTTAAACTCGGCTTTGCAGAATGCAAATGCAATAATGGCTGTAAGCATTCGTTTGGTAGTCGCTTACTGACGTTTGGTAGTCCATTCCCGATGATTGGTAGTCGAAATTATAGCCGGAAATATCAAAAAAAGGATATATGCGTGTGAAGTTAGCCCCCCCATTTCTAAAACTCGGCTTTGCAGAATGCAAATGCAATAATGGCTGTAAGCATTCGTTTGGTGGTCG